GGACACTTACCATGATTTGTAAATATGTATGCAGACCTTTATTTGGTTTTAGTGGAAAAGTCTTAACGAAGTCAAAGAGTGTCTGCTTTGTGTTGTGGACTAAGCACCTAGCCTCGTGTCTGGCAGAGAGGGTGTTCCTTGAAATAAATGGATCCTCCACCAAAACTCCTCTTTGGCCAATAAGGAGGGCCCCAGCAGACTTCAGGGAAGGGCCTGAATGAACCAGGGCAGCCTTCCTGAGCAGAACCCTCTGCCAACTGAGCGGATACCTGGGCTGTGCACTGGCGGCTCGTGGGACCTTCCAAAGAATCCGCCCCGGGCAAATTCCTGACCCTGGAGAAGCTTTCTCTACAAGCCCCACAGAAGCCTGCTATGCATTTGTACTCTAATGCTATCCATCTGTTGTTTGTCCTGCCCAGATCTGCTTCCCCCACTGAGGTTAACCCCTCTCAAAACTCAGACCAGTTTCTCTACCTGGGGTTGCCTGAGATCTTAAAAAAAATAGCCGTTGAGCAGAATACTTTACTCAGCTGCCCGTCAGGAATGCTGGGGCAATGTCCAGAGGCCATGAAGAGGAACACAGCAGCCTTCCAAACAGACAAAGCCTGCTTGCTCTCTGGGCTGCCTGCTAGAGTTTTTTGGATAAATCGATAGCCTCTACCATGCACATGTCCCACTGCCTCTAAGATAAAGTCTGAACTACAAAGCCCACCTTGCAAATCTTCATTAGAACTGTCCAATACAAAAAAAAAAAAAAACTGGGGATCCCTGGGTGGCGCAGCGGTTTAGCGCCTGCCTTTGGCTCAGGGCGCGATCCTGGAGACGCAGGATCGAATCCCACGTCGGGCTCCCGGTGCATGGAGCCTGCTTCTCCCTCTGCCTATGTCTCTGCCTCTCTCTCTCTCTCTCTCTCTCTCTGTGTGTGTGTGTGACTATCATAAATTAAATAAAATAAAAATTATTAAAAAAAAAACTGTCCAATACAGGTGCCACGAGCCACATGTCCTGTCAAATTTTTAATTAATTACAATTAAATTGACTTAAAAATTCAGTTCCTAAATTACAAATGTGAAATGAAATAGCTTCAGGTGGCTAGTGTGGTGCAGCTATAGATCATTTCCATCATTGCAAAAATTCTATTTGACAGCTCTGTTTCAGACAATAAGACCCACTCATGATTTCCTAAAAACTCCTTCATTATACAATTTACACATAAGTACGCTTTCATTGCTAATTTTCTAACACGACAAAAATCTCTTTTACCAATTCCAGCCCTCTACATAGAGATAGCCACCAAAATGAGTTTTGTATATATCCTCTGAATATTTTGTATGTTCTGCCTTTTGTTTTTTTCATTCAACAGTGTCTTAGAGCTCTTCATATAAGAACACAGGTCGGGGGGGCCTGGGTGGCACAGTCGGATAAGTGTCCCACTCTTGGTTTCGGGTCAGATCATTATCAAAGGATCGTGAGATCAAGCCCTGCATTGGGCTCTACATTCCACAGAATCTGCTTTTCTTTCTCTCTCTGCCTTTCCCCCCTGCACTCTCTCTCTCTCAAACAAAGAGATCTTTAAAAAACAAAACAAAACATCTTTATCTACCTTGTACTTTAGTTGCTGCAGAGTTAGCCATAGCTAACTCTATGAATGAACTCTAGGTTATTCAATCATTTATTTTTTCCTCTCCTGCACATTGGTGGTTATTGTTATTTCCAAATCTCTGGTGTATATATAGGATTGATTATTTATTTATTTATTTATTAAAGATTTTATTTATTTATTCATGAGAGAGAGAGAGAGGCAGAGACACAGAGAAGCAGGCTCCATGCAGGGAGCCCGATGTGGGACTTGATCCCGGGTCTCCAGGATCACGTCCTGGGCCGAAGGCAGGCTCTAAACTGCTGAGCCACCCAGGGATCCCTATTTATTTATTTTTATTTAAAGATTTTATGTATTTATTTGAGAGAGAGCAAGTACACAAGCAGGGGGAGGGGCAGGGGGAGAAGCAGACTCCCCGCTGAGTGGGGAGCCTGTTGTAGTTGTTGTAGGGCTTGATCTCAGGGCCCTGAGATCATGACCTGAGCCGAAGGCAGATGCTTACTTAACTGACGGAGCCACCCAGGAATCCTTATACAGGAATTTTTAAATGGCCAACATGGCCAGTGGGCCACTCTGAGTGGCAGGGCCTGGGCCCCACCACCCTGTCCCTGGATGGAATCCCTGGGCTGGGACCTCTAGGCACTGTATGGCCTATGCACCTTGGTGACCTGCCAGCCAGCAGTCTCCTGGTGGACATTGGTTTGCAGCTTTCTCTTACGGCAAACAATACTACATGCAAACATCCTTGTACCTTTTTCTGCACTTCTACACATGTTTGTCTAGGGTCAATTCCAAAAAGTGAAATGGCTGGATCACCAAGTCCTAGGCTAACACCTCGGAGGCTTGGCACACCCTGGTGCTCCTGCCTCCAATGCCTCCTCACATGACTAATTCCAGCTCATTTAGATCAACCGAGTGTCATCACCTGGTGAAAGGTGGTCCCTTCTGGCTCTGTTTCCCCAAAGTACTTCTTATCCACACTGTATCATTATCCTACACTTAAGACTGTGCATTATTTATCTTGTATTCTCAGTACTTAGCATAGGGTTTAGCATAGAACAAAAATTCAAATGATTTCTCAACTGGATGACTGAATGAATAAATAAACAAATAAAGGTACAGTGGTTAGGACATTCCAGAAACTCAAGGTGAGTGAGTCTGTGTGTCGTGAGCTTGGGCTTTGGACCAATCTGCCACCTACTGCCCTGAGCCAGGCTGCCTCTCTAGGTTGCTGTCTATCCAGCCCTCTGACCTCGGGTATCTCATCTTGAACTCTGTTCAAGTTCGGTTATTGCGCTGATAGAGCCAAGGTCGAGCTTCCCTCAAGTATGCAGGGGCTCTCTGGCCACAGAGCATAGAAATCTGAGCCCCGGGGACAGCACCAGCAGGGGGTTGGCTTTCCAAAGGCAGCTCTGTCTCCTTTCACCTTTGAAGCAGCTCAGCATGCTCTCTGGGTTTTGGTTTATTTTTTCCCCCTACAGTACCTTAGGGGCAATTAAAATCAGCTGCAATATTTCTGCTTTCTCCAGATTGGAATCTAAGGGAAGCCAGATGCTTTCCACTCCATATCCCCTTCTCCTTGTGATCTGAGGAAGAGCCCTGTTTTTTGAATCTCTCTGGCCTGGCTTTCCCAGATGCCAGTCTGGCTTGCAGCCTTTATTTTTAATGGGGTTTTAATAGGCGGTTCCTGCAATTAATTTCATTCTTGTGTTTTCACACTTTCTGTCTGGTGCCTAAAGGCCCCCAGGCACTAGGTGGGATGTTAACTGATTTAAAATAATACAGAACAGTATAGCTGTCATTATATATTACCCCAGCTCCTCTCACTTACAGCTTTTACAGTCATTAATTAGCTGGGGCACGTGGTCTATTTGGAAGGTCAGCCGGGTCGGCTGTCATGTTTCATTGAGTTAGAAATATGGAGAAAAGTGACTTTTTCATGCCCCGACAGAGACTGGGTGTTGAAACTGGTTTCAGAAGTCATATCCTGCCGGGTGCACACCCTGCGAGCGCCAAGGCCAGGATCCACTACTCAGGATTTGCCAAACGCGCGGCGTCCTGGATGCACACGACTTCACACACGCACACGCACCCACGAGGACGGGAGAGCAACTCCGTCCTCGGCAGCGAATTCTACCCCCTGAAATTACTCTCGTCCATTCTCTTCAGGGCCCTTTTGCATTTCATGAGCGGATTTCTCGGCATAAACAACGCAGCACCCAGCGATGCGTCTCGGAGTCAGAAACATACGTTCACGCTATTTTTAAAGCTGCAGCGTAGAAGTCGGCGCGCACGCACTCGGGCTCCTCCGGGAGCGGTGGTGGGCGGGGAGCGAGGACGGAGACTACGTGCTGGGGAGGGAACAGCCTGGCCTCCCGCTTCCCCCAGCGCCAGCGCCGGCCCCCTGGGGGCGCGCTCCTCCGAGCACACGGGGGCTCCCCGGTCCCCAGCGAACTGGCGCGCTCGGGACTCGCAGCGCCCGGGCGGCGTCGGACCTGCCAACCCACGCCCCCTCGCCCCCGCCCGGAGGAGGGCTCGGCCGCCGGGTCCCCCGGCCCAGGAGGGATCGGGAGGGACGGAGAAGCCAAGCAGGTGGCGATTAGGTCAGCTTGGGAACATTCTTGGGCCGCTCCAGTGGATATAAATAACAGACAGGCAGGCTGCGAAAAATCCCGGGGTGGGGGCACAGGGGGTGGGGCAGAAGGGACTTCTTAAGGGTGGGGTGGCAGCGTGGCGACCTGGAAAAATCTACCAAAGCTGGTGACTGACACAGTGGGTGGAGGGGCGAAGAGATTTAAGAAAGAAAGGTTCGTGGTACAAAATCTGGGAATAAGAGCACGGAGGGGAGGAGCTCGTGCCCTTTGCCCCACCCCACCGCGTCTCCCACCCGGTGCTCCGAATGCGCCTCCAGATCGGCGCGCAGGGCTGTGCATGGAAAGGGCACGGGCTTTGGAATCCGGGTCGTGCCCGACTACAGATCCTTTGCAAGCGGCTGAAGGTCTCTGAGCCTCAGTTTCGGCATCTGTACAATGGGAATCCTAATGCTTAAAAGGAGGTGGTTTGTGAGCCTCGCCGGAGCTAATTTATAAGAAAGCTACGCTCAGCAAAAAAAAAAAAAAAAAAAAAAAATGCAACGCAGCGTAGCCCCCAGGCCTCCGTCCACGGGTGCGCGGGGAGGCCCGGTCCCTTCCCGCTTCCACGGGTCGCCCAGGCTCTGCAAAGGCCGGGAGGGGCAAAGCCGAAATCTGACTCCCTTCACCCCCGCGGCGCCACCTGGGGGGCCGGCCCTGGCGCTTCTCCTGCTGGAGCCGATACCCCACGGCCGGCGCTCCGGGAGCCGCCGGTCGCCGCGATGCCCGCAGCCCCGGCGCCCCAGCCTCTGGCGGGTGGGGTTGGGGCGCAGCGGCGAGGAGAGGGCGGGGCCGGGGGCCGGGCTTCCCGGGGGAGGGCCAGGCGCGCTCCGGGAGGCGGCGGCCCCGGCCCGGGAGCGGCAGGACTCCGGCCGGAGCGTGGCCGGACCCCTACCCGCCGAGACGCCCGGGAAGGACGCGGTGAGTGCTGCCTGGGCGGGAGCCGCGGGGAGGCGGCGGCGGGAGCCGCGAGGCGAGCCCGCCCTCCTCCCGCGCCTGAAGTTTGCAAAGGGACCGACTCCCGCCCCGGGAGCCCCCGGCTACCCCACTCCGCGCTAGGACGGGAAGAGTGCCGCCCAGTCGACGCCGCGCTCCCCGCAGCTTCCCAGGCCGGCCGAGGACGGGGGGCGTCGGGGCTGGAGGGCCGTGCCGCCTCCGGGGGCTCCTCAAAGGCCCCCAGACGCCCTGGAGCCCCCAAAGGGGCCCCGCTGCCCGGACCCCTCGCTCTCTGCAGAGACTCCTAGTTCCCGGGCGGCTGCCCCCAGTCACCTTCTGGAGTTCGCGGCCGGGCTGGCCCAGACAGGGTGCGCCCCCTCCCCTGGGCGGCGATCGGCCGGCCCCACCCCCGCCGAGACCAAGTTCAACAAGTTTAGCCAAGAAAGTCCTAGAGCCTCCATGGCCAGGCCTGGCCCGGCCGCTCCGCGTGGGCTCCACCGGCTCCGAGTTGTGCAGCTCCGGGCCGGCGAGGGGGCCCGGTGGGTGGGCGCCGTCCCTACGGCTGAGGCCAGAGACGGGCAGCCCCCGGGCTCCGAGGTCCGGCGTGGAGGCTCCGGGTTTGGAGTGCGTCATCAGGGAGCAGGCACTTCAGGCAGCCGGTCGGGTTTCCAAAAGTGCCCCTTTGTTATGCCCCTCCCTGGCCCTGCCTCCTCCCCTTTCCCTGCGCCACCCCTTCCCCCACCCTCGGCGGCTCTGGCTGCTGGTTCCAGCCGGGTTCCAGCCGCTCCAGCCTAGGCACCCCTCTCCGGGCCAGGGGGCCGCCCACATCTGTGCCTCCACACCTCGGGGCCGGGGAGGCCGGGAGGGGCCGCTGGCAGAAGCCCTTTGGGCGCAGCCTGTGACTCAGGAGGACGGGCAGGGCAGCCTGGCAGTGCTCCCTCCCAGGGGCATGCTCCCGGCTTCTGGGAAGGTGGGGGCTGGTCCCCACCGCCCGTGGCCGCCCTGGGTACCTACCTACCTTAGGCAGGAGAGGGGGTTCTTCCTACCTTGGCCCGGGCTGGCTGTGAGGAGCCCCTGCCAAAACCCCAGCAGACTTCTGCAGGCCCAGTAGGTGCTGGCCACCTGGGCTGGGAAGCACTCATTTGCCTTCTGAGCTCTTGCCTGTGGCAAAGCGAGTTCTGGGGACCCCAACAGGGGCCATGGCATGCAGGGCCCACCCCCATAGCTGTGGGGCCTGGCTGTGCCTGGGACTCGGGCTTGTGTTTGCTCTGGGAGGCCGGAGGGAGCAGTGCCAGCCCTGCACACACAGCTCGCTCTGTTCTGGGGCCAGAGAGAGGGAACGGGTGGGGGGCAGCTCTCCCGGGAGGGAGCCGGAGGCTGGAGCAGGCAGGGGGCCCAGGCCCCTGGCTGCCTGACTGGGGCAGCTCCGAAGGCCCTGTGATTTACAGCTGCAGCTCTGTTTCTCACCATCTGGTTGGCAAGTCCTTTCTGGGTAAATGGGGCAGACGCAAGAGGAAGCAAGGTGAAGTGCCGAGGGCCGAGGTGGGCCAGCTGCTCTGGTCCCAGGCCCCTCTGCTGCAGGCCTCAGCTCTCCCTCCTGTTAGTTTAGGGCTGGATCCCACTGGGGCCAAGCTTTCTCCCAGCTGGTACAGCCAGCAGGTTTCCAGGCCCTGAGGTGCATGACATTTGTTTCTGTATTCAAATATTAACTCCAGTGCCCGAAGAAACCCAAATGGACCCCTCTGCCAATGACTGGGGACAGATTCTCTTTGATGGGATACATAACATATAACCTGACTGAGGGGTCACAGTGGCTGCGCAAATGGGGATGGGGGAGTGGGGTCAGGGAGACTAGAGACGATGCCTCAGTTTGAGTTTTGAAGGATGGATGGTGGTTTGTCAGTTTGGAAGGGAGCAGTGTGATTGAGCGCTGCTTTGGAGGCAGCGGGCACAAACTCTGTCCTCATGGGCCTGGCGGTGTCCCTTGGGCTTACTCAGGGGAGGAAGCGGTTTCCTTCTAGGGGCTTGAGTCAGTGCTAGGGACAGCTAAGCTGCTGCCAAGAAGCAGGAGGGGAGTGGCTGCGTGCCACTGTGTCCTCTAGCTTCTGGGGTGGTGGCTCTGGGGTTGGAATCTCCTTGCCCTCGTCTACAATTCTGGAGCATGCTCTTACAATTGGCTGGTTGCCTGTCTGACTCCCCGGTGCTGCCCCAGACTCTGCGCTTTTTGAGGGTGGGGCTCAGTTACTCATGACCCATGGAGGCGTGTGGGCCTCAGTGCTTGCTGTGGGACAGGATGGATGTCCCTGATGACTGTCGGGCCCCTCACATTTCTTGCTCATTGCCTGCTTTGAGTCTTAAACCAGCCCTGGCACAGAAGACCTGGAGGCAGAGTTTCCACTTACCAGGGAGCCGAGGCTTCCTTAGGAGAGGACAGTAAAATGTACTTGTTCAAGCTTCTTGGCCAAGATCGGACTTGGTCCTCCTGCTCCCAGTCTTCTCTTGCCTGCAAAGGGAGTCACTGGAGTGTGGCCGGGCACCCTCTGCCTCGGCCTGGTCTGGTAAAGGGTTGCCATGTTGTTCAAGGAAAGGCATCAGGGCCCGGCGTGGGCAGGTACCCTCCCGTCTCATCTGTAGTGGGGGGGGGCAGTGGGGCCCTCTGCCCACCAGCCACCCCCGCCCGCCACCTAATCCCCAGCTGGATCGTGTGACCCGCCTGGCATTCTCCTGGCTGGAATCTGGCGCTTCTGACAGCAGTTGCTATATCGGGGGAGCCGGGCACCGCCCTGGACGCTCTAGGTCCCTGCACTCACCCCCCCCCCCCGCACTTTGCTTTTGTCAGCTTCGAGGTAGAATCACGGTGGCAGCTTTGAGAGTAGGACATCCAGGTCTCTGCAGTGATCTCTAGGTCCCAGGTAGGTGAGGCTGGGGCTGGGGCAGGTGGGCAGACTCAGGGCACAAGGAGAAGCTTTGAAGTGGCCCTCCTTTCCCCTATCCCAGTCTGTCCTGGGAACCTGCCAGATGCCCCTCTCTGTGAAGTCCTAGCCCTGACAGTTCCTTGGATGGTGGGGATAGCAGTGGGGATGAAGTCCAGGGAAAGGAGAGGATCTTCTCCCCCCAAAACAGTATGTCCAACTTCCCTGCTTACCCTTCTGCCCTCCACAGCCCCAATCCGCCACCATTCCGTGCTGCGGGGACACCATGGCTCCAGAGGAAGACGCTGGAGGGGAGGCCCTAGAGGGCAGTTTCTGGGAGGTAAGCAGCTGGGTCCTAGGTTTGGGGGGTGGCAGTGAAATGCCCACCCCCCTCTGGGCCCAGCCACCTGTTGAGGGAGGTGCCTCACTGTCAGACACAGCCCGGGAGGGGGCTTCTCCCCAGCGACCCCACCTTCCTCCTGTCCACCCCAGGCTGGCAACTATAGGCGGACTGTGCAGCGGGTGGAGGACGGGCATCGGCTATGTGGGGACCTGGTCAGCTGCTTCCAGGAACGGGCCCGCATCGAGAAAGCCTATGCCCAGCAGCTGGCCGATTGGGCCCGCAAGTGGAGAGGCACCGTGGAAAAGGGTGAGCCAGCGCCCGGGCCTAGCCAGGAGCAGAGGGCCACTGTGGGTGAGATCAGGCAAGGCAGCTCCTTTTTTGCATCTCTTATGGAAAGTTCCATGATTCCATGTATGCCTTCCCCTTGAAGAGTGAAGAGCTTCCCTGGTTCTTCTTGACAGTTGTGCTGTTTAGAGTTTCCAGAGTATGGTCATGAGTTATTTGGATATTTGTAGCAGCCCTATGTTGGAGATAGTCCTGTTCCACCCATTTTATAGAGGAGAATCCAGAAGTTCAGAGAAGCTAAGTGACTTTCTTGAAGTTACACGGCTAGGAAGAGCTGAAGCTTGAACCCAGCCTTCTGACTCAGGAGCTTGGGATCTTTCCATCCTAACAAGCTGCCTTCCTTGAGGGTGGATGTTTGTTCTTCCCTCTAAGGTGATAAAGAGTGTGGTGGTTGATGCCACAGATTTGGGTTGAATCTCAGCTCCACTTGTAGCTCTTTTGCTTTGGGCACTTCACTTTTCTGGGTCACTGTTTTCCGCCTGTTATTGATTGTGACATTGGTTTCATGGTGGGGGATGAGGATTCGGTGAGATCTCATATATCTATAAGTAGCAGCAGACCTCTTTGTGGTTTGTCTTCATAACCACCCCCTCCATGCCCGGCACCCAGAGCAGCACCTAGTGAGAGGGGGTGGGTGGGCTCGTTTCTGGTGGCATCCCGGGCCCGGCCCAAGCCCATGCCTCCCCGCAGGCCCCCAGTACGGCACCCTGGAGAAGGCCTGGCACGCCTTCTTCACGGCGGCTGAGAGGCTGAGTGCGCTGCACCTAGAGGTACGGGAGAAGCTGCAGGGGCAGGACAGCGAGCGGGTGCGCTCGTGGCAGCGGGGCGCCTTCCACCGGCCCGTGCTGGGCGGCTTCCGTGAGAGCCGGGCTGCCGAGGACGGCTTCCGAAAGGCCCAGAAGCCCTGGCTGAAGAGGCTGAAGGAGGTGAGTTTGGGAGGGACCAGGCATGGGCCCCTTCCTGAACTGGCCCTGGGGCTGGAGTGGGTTTGGGGGGGCCCGGGGCTCGGCGTGCGGGGTCCACATTTGTCCCCACGTGTGCCAGGTTGAGGCTTCCAAGAAGAGCTACCACGCGGCACGGAAGGAGGAGAAGACGGCCCAGACCCGGGAGAGCCATGCAAAGGCCGACAGCGCCGTGTCGCAGGAGCAGCTGCGCAAGCTGCAGGAGCGGGTGGAGCGCTGCTCCAGGGAGGCCGAGAAGGTACGGAGCGAGAGCGGGCGGGTGGGTGGGCGTGCCCCCCCCCCCCCCCCGCCCCAGGGCCCAGGCGGCCCAGTCCTCATGGGCCACCCACTTTCCAGATCATCATTTAAAAGAGGAGACTGGGGATCCCTGGGTGGGCCAGCGGTTTCGCGCCTGCCTTTGGCCCAGGGCAGGATCCTGGGGACCCGGGATCGAATCCTACATCGGGCTCCCGGTGCATGGAGCCTGCTTCTCCCTCTGCCTGTGTCTCTGCCTCTCTCTCTCTCTCACTGTGTGCCTATCGTAAATAAAAAAATAATAATAATAAAATAAAAGAGGAGCCTGTACCCAGGGAAAGCAGTTCAGTTTCAGGCATTGGGAGGATCTTAGCTGATCTTAGCGGCTGAGGACACCTTCCAGCTCCCTTCCTTCCGCTGTGTCCCCCCTGGGGCAAGCTGTGGCGTTGCTGGCTCTGCTGGAGCGAGCGCCCTCTCCTCCAGCTCTGCTCATCTGCTGCTCAGTTTCTTTTTTAAGACTTTATTTATTTATTTGAGAGAGAGCAAGAGAGCACAAGCAGGGGGGGTGGCAGGCAGAGGGAGGGGGAGAAGCAGGCTCCCCGCGGAGCAGAGGAGCTGGACGAGGCTCCATCCAGGACCCTGAGATCATGACCTGAGTCCGAGGCAGATGCTTAACCAACTGAGCCACCCCGGTGCTGCTCTGCTGCTCAGTTTCTACCTCCTCCATGAAGCCTTTTTTGATTTCTCTCTACCCCCCACCCCGGGGGGGGGTCGACCTTACCTCAATCTCTACCTTCACTCACCATACTCTTTTTTTTTAGATTATATTTATTTATTCATGATAGACGTAGAAAGAGAGAGAGAGAGAGAGAGAGAGGCAGAGACACAGGCAGAGGGAGAAGCAGGCTCCATGCTGGGAGCCTGATGTGGGTCTCGATCCCTGGACTCCAGTATCGCGCCCTGGGCCAAAGGCAGGCGCTAAACCGCTGAGCCACCCAGGGATCCCCACTCACCAGACTCTTAAAGCTGCTGTCCCCAAGCATCGCCTGCCCTGTTTGGATGCTGGGGTATTGGAGGGCAGGAGCTGGGTCTGCAGCCTGGTTGCTGCTAGTGTCTGGCCCGGGGTCTCACTCAGTGAATACTTGTGGAGTCCCGAGTGGAAGATGGTCTTGTGCTCACCAGGCCCCTCCACTCCCACCTAGATGAAAAGCCACTATGAGCAGACGCTGGCAGAGCTGCATCGCTATACCCCGCGCTACATGGAGGACATGGAGCAGGCCTTTGAGACCTGCCAGGCCGCGGAGCGCCAGCGGCTGCTGTTCTTTAAAGAAATGCTGCTTACCCTGCACCAGCACCTCGACCTCTCCAGCAGTGAGAGGTATGGCCTGCGAGGTGGGCGTGGAGGTCTGGGCTAACGCTGGGTCTGCTCCATCTCTCCCAGGCTTGGGCCAGGTGGAATGAATTTGGTGAGGGGAGGTCCTGGGGGGCGGCCCAGGGCTCCCCAGGCTGAGGCTGTGCCTGGGGCCACAGGTTCCATGAACTCCACCGAGACTTGCATCAGGGCATCGAGGCAGCCAGTGATGAAGAAGATCTGCACTGGTGGCGCAGCACCCACGGGCCAGGCATGGCCATGAACTGGCCGCAGTTCGAGGTCCGTGTTCCAGGCTGGCTGGGGGGCTGGGAGGTGTGGTGGGCTCAGCCTGGACCTCAGGAGGGAGGCTAGGGCTTGCGATGAAGTAGGTGAAGGTCTGAATGGCTCTGGCTGCCACCACAGCCTGTAGCCCAGCCTGACGCTAAGCACTGTCCCCACAGGAGTGGTCCTTGGATACACAGAGGACAATTAGCAGGAAGGAGAAGGGTGGCCGGAGCTCTGATGAGGTTACTCTGACCAGCATCGTGCCCACAAGAGATGGCGCTGCACCCACACCCCAGTCCCCGGGGTCCCCAGGGTGAGAGCCAGAAACCTGGCTGTGGGAAGGAAATAGCTCGTCCTCTGCCCTGCCCTCTTTCCCTCTGTCTCCCTCCCTTCATTCCCCTCACACCTGAAGTGGGTTGAAAATTGGTGCCAGGAACCTTAGGAACCTACTTAGTGCTTGTAATGATGCCAGTGTTTGCGGTGGTTCCCGCATTCGCGCTCACCTACTGCTCACGTCAGCCCTGTGTGGCGGGAAACGTGCCCAGCTCACGGGCATGTGTGGCAGAGGTCAGACTGGGATCTTTCAGCACTTTCTCCACCCGCCTCTCCCAGGCTTCTTCTGGAGGGCGAGCCCTTGGGCCTGGGTCCCGGGCTCTCCTGCTCGAGGTGGTCCTCATGCCCTGAGCAGGCCGCTTTCTGTCTCCCCCGTCTAGCGGTGGGCAGGATGAGGAGTGGTCAGATGAGGAGAATCCTCGGAAGGCTGCCATGGGGGTGCGGGTACGGGCGCTCTACGACTACGCCGGCCAGGAAGCTGACGAGCTGAGCTTCCGAGCAGGTACCTACCCTGGGGTACCCACCCGGGGAGCCCTCTCCTGTTCCTTCCCAGGCTTCAGCCACACTCTCCCCTCCTTTACAACCGGAGCAAGGGTGTGCAAAAGGGAAGCCTGCTGCCTACTTCCCAAGGGCCAGTTGTCAGATTCTTAAGGATGCTCTGGGTTCAGCCCCGGAGTGTCTGCTCTGAGCCCTCACCTCCCTCTCAAAGTCACCGGTGGTGGGGGCCTGCTTAATGCATTCAGGGTGGGGGGGGTGACTTGCTGACTTTGACTTCTCTTTGCCTGAGGCATGTCTCTTCTCCTCCCTGGTTTTCCTACAACCCGCCCCCCCTCGGTCTCGGGCTGGGCCAGGGCAACTGGCAGTGACTAATCCCTCCCTCTTCCCCCAGGGGAGGAGCTGCTGAAGATGAGCGAGGAGGATGAGCAGGGCTGGTGCCAGGGCCAGTTGCAGAGTGGCCGCATTGGTCTGTACCCTGCCAATTACGTGGAGTGTGTGGGGGCCTGACCTCCCCTGACAGCCCCCCTGCAGTGTTTCTCCACCCTGCATCAGAGCCCAGCTTCTTTTGCACAGCCGGACCCAAGGGCCCTGGACCATGGTGCCCCTGCTGCCCCTCTGACCACTGAGGAGGGAGGAAGTCCTGGGACCCAGGGAGGGGAGCCGCCTGCATCTACTGAGTCTAGGCTGAGGGGAAGATGAGGTCAGAAGGTGACAGAAGGGCTCAGGGGAACCTGGGCCTCTCCAGGAATGGGTGGGTCTCCCCAGAAGCTGTGGACCCAGTTCCTGGTCTCAGTGGGGTGGTCTTGGGGTGAGTGTAGTCTTGGGCTAGCAGCACTCTATTGTGGCTTGTTCTAGTGTGTATTAAACTTGGAGGAAAAAAAAAAGCCCTGTGAGGCCTGTGTGCATCTTTTCTGGTCCTCCACCCTTGCCGGGCTGCAGAGAGCATCTGGAGAGAGGCCCTGAGTGGGGAGCTCGGTGGGTGAAGGTCCGCCCGCGTGGCTCGGCTCTGGAACGTGGGGGCCTTAAGCTGGGGCGGGGGTCCTCCAGGTGGGGCTTAGCGCGAGCCCGCCCTCGACGGAGGCGGGAGCCCAGCACCTTGTCTTCCCGTTCCGGCCGGCGGGGCCGAGAGCGCCGGCTAGAACGGTTAATCATTCCTCGGCCACCGGGAACTGCCCGCAGCCTCGCAGCCCTCGCCACCTGCGGGGGTGGCGGCGCGCCGCGGGGCGGGAGGCGGGGGCGCTCGCGAGCCTCGGGCCGGCCGGTGAGCGGTCGCTCCGCCCGGCGCCGCGCGGGACCCGCGCCCTCTGCACACGCGGGGCCGGTGGCCGCCCCGACTCGGCCGCGCCGGCCGCTCATTGGTCCGGACCCGGGCAAGCCCCGCCCCCGGCTGGCGGGGGCTCGCCGGCCCGGCGCCCCGCCTTCGCGGCCGCGGATTGGCCCCTGACGGGACCCGTCGGTCGCGCTGGTGTCTGGGAAGGAGAGAAAATGGCGGCGGAACCGAGCAAGACCGAAATCCAGACGCTTTTCAAGCGGCTTCGCGGGATTCCGACCAACAAGGTGCGCGGGCGGGAGGCGCGCGGGGTCCGGCGCCGGCGGAGAGGGACCCCCCGTCGGCCCTGGGGCCTGAGGGAGGGAGAGGGGCGGGCGGGGGCCGTCTCCCTGGCGTGGCTTCGCCCGGCCTCGACTCGGGGCTTCTGACCGTTGGCCCACCGCCTCCTCCCCCAGGCCTGCTTCGACTGTGGCGCCAAGAATCCGAGTTGGGCCAGCATCACGTACGGTGTCTTCTTGTGCATTGACTGCTCTGGCGTGCACCGCTCCCTGGGCGTCCATCTCAGCTTCATCAGGTGGGGTCCGCGGCTGCTGTGCTTCCACCCGGCCGGCCGGGGCTGTGTGCTCGGCGACGGAGAGCGGCCGCCTCGCCGCGACTCCCGGCCAGGGAGGGAGCCGCCTGTGTGCGCCCCTTGTCGTGTAGGCGGCTTGCGTCCGCGTCTAGCGCAACATTTCCTCTTTTCCTGTTGGTTAAACTTAACACTCTTGTTAGTTGCGGGGAAAAGTTAGCTGCATTGACCTTGTTGATGATGGAGCACATGTCTGGAGTGAGACTGACCGTCGGTAAGGGGAGAGGCAATGCCAAGCCTGAGTGCTTGAGAATTCGACCTCCTTTCCGATCTGGACAATAATTAGTACTCTTTCGACTAGATAATTGAAGAGCAAATCTTTTACGGACAAGGGAGAGTGCAGGAAATAGGGTGGTGGCTGATTACTGTTTCCTGGGCACCTACTGCAGCCCGAGGCCAAATGACAGGTGTGGGTCTGCCAGGGAAGCGTCTTCCTGGTGTCTGCCTGTGGGTGACACGCAGCCCTTGCACACAGGTCCACAGAGTTGGATTCCAATTGGAACTGGTTCCAGCTGAGGTGTATGCAGGTCGGCGGAAATGCCAATGCGGTAAAGCTCCTTACCATCCTCCCCACCCCCATTCTTCTGCTTGGGTTCTAGCAATGTCTTCCTAGGAGGCCCTGTTAGTATCTGTTTTCAGAGGTGTTTTGTTTTGTTTTGTTTTGTTTGGTCTATAGCAACATGGTACACTTTTCTCTAAACTTGGAAATTGATTTTTCTCTAGTGGGTTTGGATTCATACTAAACCAGACACATGTTCTTCGGGAAAGGCCAAGGGATTTGGGGCCTCCACAGTCATCCAGATCTTGTGAGCCTGGATGAAGGATGGGCATAGTGGACGGCAGGCTGTCAGGCAGCGTTGAGAGAGAGCTGAGGTTCAGTCAGTTATCTCAGAGGATGGGAGGCCATTTTTTTGCAGGGATTTCTGAGGATCTTTACCTCTGAAAAACTGCTGGCGTCAGTAGAGTGTATTGTCAGATATAAACTGGGCTTTTACAAGGGGGTGCCTCTTTTGCTCTGGGGAGTCACCTGTAGCATGCTCTCCTCCCTTGCTCTCCAGACAGCTTTCTTCCGCCAACACGGATGTACAGCCAGTGACGCCAACACCAAATATAATAGCCGAGCTGCCCAGATGTACCGGGAGAAGATCCGACAGCTGGGGAGTGCAGCCCTGGCCAGGCATGGCACTGATGTAAGTGTGTGTTCCCCGGGGCTGAGGTAGTGGGGTGAGTAGGAATATTCAGAGGCCCATGTTTCAAAGGTGTCTTCTTCCTTCTAGCTTTGGATAGACAATATGAGTAGTGCTCCCAGTCACTCCCCAGAGAAGAAGGACTCTGATTTCTTCACAGAACACACTCAAGTGAGTGCCCACAAGGAACGCTTCACATGATTGTTGCTGGCAGGTGGCTTACTTACCAAGGTCAAGGCCTTCTGTGGTCATGTGGCATGGAGTCCATTCACCTTGGTATGGCTCCTTGGACAGGGAACGTCTACAGCCCACTGCTGGGTAGGCCCAGAGGTTTCCTCCTCCCTGGAGTAGATGTGCAGTGTGGTCCTCCTTAGGAATGGACTCCTATAAACTGGGATAGTAGGCAGGAGGAGAAGCTTCTTGAGAGCTCAAGAGGTGTCAGGAGCTCCAGACAACTTTTCCTGGATTCTTTCCCCATAAGAAAGGTACTGTGGTTGGGACAAGGAAAGGAGTCCCTCCCCAGCAGCCCACCCCTAGGAGGAGGTTTCCTGTCGACTGGCACTGGGTGCTAAAGTCCGACTCTCTTAATTTGAATTCTTGCTTGTCTTCTTAGCATTTCTAGGATGGTGGCCAAGGCACTTAACCTGTCAAAATCCGAGTTGCTAAAAGAGGCTATATCTACCTTGTAGGGTTGTCAAGATCATTAAATGTATTTATGCGTGAAAAGCCTTTAGACTTGTGCTTGGCAGGTGGTAAGTGCCCAATAGTAGTTGTCATGAAATTAGGGGGATGAGCTCTGGCTCTAAGTACATAGTGGAGGGGTGGAGGTGGCTGCTAATTTCCTATTTCTTTTTTCCATAGTCAGTAATAGCGGCTATACTTTTACTCACTAGCCTCCAGTTTTTTTTCTCATGGGCTTGGAGGAAGGCCTCATTCCCACTAGGTACCTATAGGTTCTTGGTGCTCCTTGCCGGGAGGAGTGGCTCATCAAAGCTTCTATGATCTGGCTTCTTTTTCAGCCCCCTGCCTGGAAAGTACAACCCCCCGACCCAGCAGAGACCCAGCAGCTAACCCCTTCTACAGAGATCAGTAGTCTGGCACGTGAGTTCAGTACTGATTTCAACCAAGGGCCCTGGTGTTGGCAAAGGACTCGGTCTAGGAAGGGGACACCTGGCCAAGGGGACTGGAGTGAGTGAGTGCGTGTGTGTATATGTTCCTATATTCCTTGGTGAGCTGTGATTCATTTTAATCCCTTGGAGGAAGTGGTGGGCGTTTCTTTTATCTTTTGGTGGCCTCAGCAAGCTGAAGAAAGCCAGTCCTTCCTACTCTTATCCCATCATTCCCCTTAAGGGGAAGTCACTGCAAGCTTTGTACCTTATATCTAAATTCCACTATTGCATCCACAGAGCCAGAGCACAGCCCCAACATGGACCTGCTTGGCACCTCACCCAAAGCCTCTCTGGGTCAGTATGCCACCTGACAGGTAGGGGGTGACTGGGAGAGGGTGGGCCTCCAGGGCTCTTTTCAGATCTTCTGCTGCCTGGTCATGTGGACTAAGGCCTCAGGAGTCAAGCATCTGACCTTTCTGGAGTGGGGACTGGGATTGGGTTTGTGGCTGTAGCGTCAACTGCAAGGACTTTAGAACCAGGCCTTTTGAATTGATAAACCTGGTAGCTGGTGTACGAGGCCTGAGGTCTGCCTCTGTATGTGGAGCTGGATCTAGCCAAAGTGTGGGGAAGCCAGTATGAGACAGGACACCTAACCCTGGAGTCTGAGGCAAGATTGGCCTCTTTGGTCCATTTCATCAGATTAGGGTGCAGCTCTCACAGCTGAAGGCAACACTGTCCTTTCTCAGCCTGTCTGGCCCTTCAGTTGTTTTTAAATTCTACTTAGTGTTCTTAAGTCTTAGTTCAATGTTAGAACAGTCTGTTTGCTGGCCTCCGTGCTTCTGTTGACCCTTGGGGGTTGGGGCAGGAAGCTAGCAGAATGATTATGAAACTGAGCCCATGGGAAGGCTAGCATGGCTCAGTCTAAAGTGAGGCCTCTCAGAATGATTTTGGTCTCTGGGCTTGGGAGCTATAAGGAGGCCCTGGGGTGGGCCCCTTGTTAGCCACAAGTTTTTCTCTCTAGAGTCCATGTATCTGTCACCTAAAGGGGCCCTTCCTGCCAGAGGTAACCAACAGCTGCTCGGGGAACCCAGCCCCTTGCATGCCAGTTCCCTGCTGAAGGAGCTGAGGCTGATATTTAACATCTGCCTCCTGCTTCGTGTTGGTTCAGGGACTGTGACAGTCTCTGGTGCTTTGGGTTTAGTTCTTGTCTCAGTCAGCTGGGAGTCAGGAGCCTTGCCTAACCTTGTCTGTCTGTCTTTGGCTTGGGCTATGCCGATGCCATTGGTTGGAACTGGTGGGTGGCAGCCTTGCCTTCCTCTGCCTGGAGCTGTTTTTTGTAGAAGTTCTTGCCAAGAAGTTGCATGGTACAGACTGAGCTGCTGCCTCTGACCTCCCTTTGTCTTCACTCTTGCCTCATCATCTTTCTCACACAGAACCGAGAACCTCCCTCATTGGCAAGAAGAAGCCAGCAGCAGCTAAGAAAGGGGTAGGTGGAGAGAGGCAGTATGGTGGTGGTTAGGAGCTGGCGTCAGCTTGACCTGCCACTTGCTGGCTGTGTGACTTTGGCAAAGGTACTTCTCTGAACCCTATCTGTGAAAGGGTTGTTAAGACAACTGTTGTTAAGGGGCTCCTGGGAAGAGTCTGTGTGATTGTGCACGTCAAGTGCCCAGTACATACTGGGCCTGGTCAGCATTACCTGCTGTTTTCAGGCCCTGAAGCATCCACTGGCATTGTGTGAGCCACCTCCTGCCCAGCTCCAGCAGAACCACTGTTCTCCCTCATGACCATGCTGGCT